ACCTTTTCAATTTGCCCAGGATTGAGGGGTTTCCTGGTACATGGAATTGCAGAGACTGGGACACACTAGGTTGCCCTCCTCCTGTAGAAAGTGTTTCAAGAAGGAGGGAGAAATTACACTTGGGTCCAATGCTGGAGGACTGAGCAATGACCATTGAATTTGGCAACACGGAGGTCTTGCATGACTTTGACAAGAGTCATCTCTCATGAACAGCCAAGTTGATTTGAGAACCACCCCCCCCCATGGGAGTAAACATTCATAAGGGTACGAGGCCAGTGCGCCTGGAGACATCATGCCCCTCTCCATCCCCCACACAGAGCGGCATGAAGCCACCGCAGTGCTGTAACAAAGGACCCAGGTACTTGGTGTTTACCTGTGTGATTTGGGTCATTTAACCTCTCTGTTTTTCAGTATTATTATTTGTGAACTATTGTCCAAGATTTGTTATTTTAATCTGCCATCAGTATTCTGTCTGCATTACTACACTTGTGCTAGGAGTTAAAACAGATATGGTTCTGGTGCTGTAGGAATTTTTAATTTCAGAACAAACTGAATCCTACCTCATGTCAGAACCAGCCTTTGATGTGCATTAGGGGACAAGAGAAAGCTCAAGCTCCCTTAATTAAGACATAAACATTTGGCTGTGGATCATTTAAGCTTTTAGGGTATTTATAATAATCTTTTTGTGTATTTCTATCCTTCTATTGACTAGGCCTCTGAAAAAAAAGTAGCTAGAAAGAAAGACTGCACAAGTCTTTACTAGAGAAGTGTTGAAAGTTGCTTCAGGGCAGTGACTGTGTCCCCTCAGCCGAGTGCAGGCCTGCTGTAGGACCCCAGTGAGCATGTGTGGAGTGAATGAAAGTAGGTGCATTAGTCTAGGTTCAGCCAGAACAGCGAAACCAGTAGGAGATGCATATGCACATGTATTAAGGAATTGGTTATGGGGACTTGGCGTACCCACTGATGGTGGCTGGCTGCCTAAGCAAGCCTCAAGTCCCCAACACCGTCAGAAAGGCAAGATCACAGGCAAGCTGGAAATCCAAGGGCATGAGCTGAACTTCGAGAGGGCCTCTACCCTCTTTGAAAAGGCTTCCAACTGATGAAGTTAATTTCTCCCTTTTGAATAACTTAAAGTCAACTGATTAGGGACTTTCATTACATTGGGGATATCCCTTCACAGCAGCACCTATATCAGTGTTTGGTGGTAACAACAGAAGGTGTGTGTATGCTACAAAACAGCTGCAGCCTCCCTTCTGTCCTCCAGCTCTGGCAAGAGAAAACCCTCGTAGCGTACCCCATTGGGAAACATACCAGGAAAGGAATTCGGGAGAATGTAGTTCTGTCTTGACGACACATCACGAAGTCATCACAATAGATAAAGTTTGATTTAGGATAATTTGTAGTCTTAATTTTTTTCTTTTTTTTAGAGGGTGTTTTGTTTTTATTTTGATTATTTGGGGCTTTCTCATATTATTTTAACAAATGATAGACACTTATAACTCAGGTATAAGGTGGCATTCTTGAAATTACTTTGGATCATACCATTTAAATTAGTCTTGGGTCTCCACTGACTAGGAGGCCATATATAGCTCAATAGCAGAGAAAACAACATAGTTACTTTTCATGTTTGGCTTTTAAGACCCCAAAGAGCCCAAGTCCTGCTTTAGGGGCTAATCTAGAACATCCCCCGCCCTCCCCAACATCAGCCTCTAATGAAATATAATGCCACAGTAATGCTCTTCAGTATTTATTTCTCCCTTTGCTTATCACTAAATAGGCATAGTGTATGTGTTTATGTGTATGTATTGATTGCCTCACACTAAAGCCCAACTCTTGAGATTAAGATTTCAGATAGTTTTTGGAGAACAGAAATCTCTTTTGGTTCCTGGTTATTATTTGAATTGGCAGGAGGAACAACATGTGTTTTGGCCTAGTTAACCGTAATTGGGCTCTCCACCCACTTGCCAAGGGCAGGACTAGTTTATATCACATTTGGCACGAATAGCTCCCTCCCTTGTTAGTTTCAGTGTGGAAAGGGTAGGGGAGACTAAGTATTAAATGCCAGCTTGTGTGTGTAGTGCCAGGACCACGCTCAATAAGTCTATCATTATGATTTGTATTTAGAGTCTATTCAGTCCTGAAATATATGCAGACCTCAAGAGTTTATGACTTTGTTATGATCAATTGTGTGTGTTGCACTTGGCACATTGCCACACAATTAGTGCTCAGTGATGATGCTCTGATTTTTTTAATCAGAGCTCCCTCTTCAAAGATAGCATTATATGTGAGAATGCGACAAACTTCATCGCATGGTTGACTGAAGATCCATGGAAAGGTGCATGCGAGTAGCTTCCTGTACTCTTCTGTGTCCCTCATGCCCACCTCAGTGACTTGCACTCAGTAGATGCTTGCATGTCACTTTGAATTGCAGGGACATGACAAGTATAATACGTGGACTGGACCTGAATTATTTTCTCTACAATTTCACACAAATGTCTTTTCTCATAGAAGCTTCTACTTAACTAGCTGTTAATGCTAGTCACGTTGCTTCAAACGGTGCTTCAATATCATTTTTAAGTATGCATGTCTAGTGCCTCTCTTGAGAACTGATATTCTCCATAGTAAATTTATGTTTATTATTATTTCAATTAAGTAATTAATTTACTGTTATTTGAGCAGCCAATCTCATGAGAAGCACACTATCCCTTGTGGATAGTAGTAAATGTATTTTTTTTTATTCACTTCCAAACACACTTATGATTGCCTTGTGTTTTAGTGATTTCTGGAAATACAGATTCCCTGAAAAGCCCACAAGAGAAAACAAAACTAGAGGGGTTAATAACATAAGCCTGCCTAGGTTTGAATTACTGCCCAGCTGTGTAACCATGGGCAAGTTATTAAATCGCTAGCCTTCAATGTCCTCATCTATAACATGGGATAATAAGAGTGCTACCTTAGAGAGTTCTAGTGAGGATTAAATGGGATAATGTATGTGATGACCTAGTTCAATTGCTTGGCACACAGTAAGTGCTCAATAATTACTAGCTCAGTGGGTATCAACTTTACAGTAATAAGGTTGGGTATGCAGAAAATGCAGTTTTCTTCATCTGAAATTGAAGTCATTTCAGTCCCTGACTCTGAACTCTCTGTGCTGGGTTATGGTAAGGAATGGGAAAGTCCACTTTCTCCTTTGGGGTTGGTCGTATGTATTGGGTTGTCAGAAAAGTCATGACGTATTTTTTCTGTTTTTCGTTGTAAAAATGCATCATGACTTTTCCGATAACCCAATGGATATGCAGCAGATCTATTGGCTCTGTGCCTAGAGGATGCCTGTTGTTCCCACTGCCAGAGTCCCATAGTGTCTTTCTGCACAGTCTGTCCCCACCTGGCTCCTGCATAGGCTGATCTCTGATGCCCTAAGGCCCTGCTGGTCCCTGTTGCTTCATTTCAAGAGGCAGCCTATAAGGACTGTGGTCCTCTCCTTAGCTGACCTCCAAGTTCCCCAATTAGAGGCGCAGGAAACTTCCTCATGCTTTATCACACCACCTGGGAGCCATGAGGAACTAGGGGCGTGCCTTTGCCCTCTCCTACTGAAGTGCGTCCTGTTGCCTTCTTTCCGGCCCTTTTGGATCCTGCTGACATTATGTAAGTCCACCACCTTCAAGAATCTCAGATAAAAAGGAGGGCAAATGTTTGCTCAACTCTTAGCTTTGTCCTCACTCCCCAAACATGTCACGCATGTCTTCACCACCACCAGAGGCAGCAGGGCTGAGGAGGAGACAGAACAAAGCACATTTACATTCTCCCTTCTTACTTCCTTTTGCCTCTTCAACAGCACTTTGTCCTTCCTCTCCACCTTGGAACGCATACATCTAATCTGGTGTACAGTTTCAGGGCGATGAAAAACCGGTTTTATGAGCACTTCCTTTGCATCTGTCCTTGTTTCATATTGAGGTAGTACAAATCAAGAAGCTGGAATGTTTATTCAGTTGGTCCACTGGTGGGGCAGAGGTAGGGAACTCCTTGGGCTGCACACTCCGAATAGTCAGCAATAAATGAACACCATAGAGCTGCTGCTATTATTATTATTACTATTATTATTATATAGATCCTCTGATTTAAGTGATTCGTTTACTTGTTTAAAGCAGTGGTTCCTAAGTCTTTGGACTTCACAGACAAAAAAAAAAAGGATTTGTTGAATTGCCAACTTTTTATTTTATCAACTAAAGAACATTATTTTTTTGAATTACCATCCAGTCCTATAATTTCTTTTATCCTCTCCACTGTGGAAAGACATAATTGAAGAGTGAAAAATGAATCCTTTTAAAATGAGTGCAGTAGCCATATGAAGCTTCAGCCGATTGCCCGTAGTTTGCTCATTTAGCTGCAGCCAGTGAAAATATCTTCCTGCCCAGCACCAGTCCGCCCAGCAGCGTCTGGAAATCACTGCCTTGGAGTGTTTCAGCCACCACGTGTGGTTCACTGTAGGCTGTGATTACAAACGAAGTGCTCTCAAGAACCAACATATAGGATAGCTCAGGCCAGAGGAAACACCATGCCTCCATACTCAAAGGAGTGTTGAGTTTGCCTGAATTTCTGGGAAATTGCCTCTGTTCGCTACTTCACTCTATTTGGGTAAACATGGCCTCAGAGAGCTTTTGTAGAAGAAATTATAAAAATTCAGCAAAGGTTTGTGATCTCATTTTGGATCTCCTCAGGATTCCTCATCAAGATGCAATTAAGTAGAGAAAAATGCTGCCTTGGGGTGTGATTTTAATTACTCATCATGTTCTGACTTGACTTTCCGTGCTGCGTTTCTTTTCCATATCACTGCTTCTGTGTTTGACAGCCCTTCTAAAGACAGCTCCACTTAACTGTACGTGGAAGGTGAAGCACTCACTGGGTAGAAAGGGGGGGCAAGGCAAACATCTCCTCTCGCCTCAGTGCTTTTCCCTGAAAACCGCGTGGGAACCCCCTTTTTCTTTTCCCCACCCCTCCAGCCTCATTTTTACGACCCAGTGGAGCCGGTGGACGTTGAAGGACTTCTGATGACACACCTGAACAGCTTGGATGTGGAACTGGCCCAGGAGCTGGGAGACTTCACTGAAGACGACTTGGATGTGGTGTTCACACCAAAGGAATGTCGGACTTTGCAGCCCTCGTTGCCAGAGGAAGGGTAAATTGTTTTCTTAAAATGTACAATGGATGGGATTGTGAATGGCGTGCCTGTTTTTGGTAAGGGGGGAAATGCCCTAATTCTGGACTTCTTTGGAAAATAAAATTGCTCAGGTCTATTAGGATGACTACTGTGGTACTATGACCTATATGTAGACAGTTTTTGAATTGGTTTGACCAGAGGCTTTGAAAAGCCATGTGGGAAACTAAGCCAGTTAAAGGGATGCAGTGGGACCAAATGGAATGCTCAAGAAGAGGTGACAAGTGCAGGCTGTTGAGTCAAGTCTGTCTCCAGATGTCATCTCAGTGACCTTGGGTGAATCATGTGACCTCACGAAGCCTCAGTTTCTCCGTTTGTAAACAAGTCAAGATTTTTCATCAAAATCATGTTAACATGCCTCCATTCAGAAGCATTTTAATTGGTTTTACAACTGGATCAAGTTATAAACCTAAGTGGAACCCACATTTGTCGAGCTCTACTAGATGCTGGGTATTGGGATAAAAGGATGAATAAGGCACAGTTCCTTCCTTTGAAGAAAGTTTTGTCGAGTGGAAAAGCAATGGAGACAGCTCGGTAGCATGACTATATGAATAGCTGTTTAAGGCTTCAGATTCTACAGTAGGTTAATCTATGTTTATAGGTGTGGACATTAGCTCTTGGCATCAAACAATGGAATTATATCTAACTGAAACGCTTGTTACTTCTACAGAGTAAAAAGCAACATCTCTCTGGAGGTTTAGGATGAGCTTCTGTTTGCATTCATTTTTCAAAACAAAGTTGAGATTCACATCCTCTTGGACATTGTCAACCTTTTTATCTTCCCAAAAAAATCCCAGAAAGGAGATCACGAAACATGGCTCCTGCCCTCATTACTCGGGGGTTTTCCAGTTCTATTTTGGGCTTCGTTTCATCACAAAGAGATTGGATGACAGTAATATGGCATGATTGACCCTTTACTCTGTTGTTTGGACCGTTCTCATGATGCTCAGCTCTAATGTTTTGAAAATACTCACTTCCCACAAAATAAAAACTTTGTCATCATTTGGAAATATTTTCCCAGTTGTCAGTCCATTTATTCAGGTCTGACTTTAAGATTGGTAACATCTATTATTTTACCTTTGGGAGAATCACTTAATTTTATGTCTTGGTGTAAAAATGTGGGTTCATTGTCTTCAAGTGAATTAGAATCTTGGAAAAACCTGTTTAAAATATTTGCAATAAATTTAGTGGTAGGAGGATTTTTATCTTTTGAAATTTGATGGAGGAGGTAAGTTTTTTCTTAGTATGAATTTTGAATATAATATTGCCTTGTCACTAGAATTTACAGCTAACACTGATGACTTGAAAACAACCTGTACTATTTCAATCCTTGTCCCAAAGTCTTCTGTGTAATTAAAGTCCAGGAAGTTACCTGGTCATCGTCGGAGTAAACAGCTGAGTCCTGTTGAGTCCCCTGTGCGTAGCCCAGAACTTTATGTTGAGCTGTGAGTGTGGTGGTTATAAGCCTGCATTCCGCAGGTGAACTGCCTGGGTTCCATTTCCTGCTCTGCTACTTGCTGGGTGACTTTAAGACAGATACTTATCTTTTCTTCTGCAAAATGAGAATAGTGAGAGCACCTGCCCTATGGGGCTGAGTGAGAATTAAGTGACTTAATACATTTAAAGGGATCACATCAGTGCTAGTGCTTAATAAATGGCACTTAAGTGTGAATTATTACATGTAGGTCTTATTATTATGTGCTAGACACTCTTCCAAGCACGTCACATGCTAACTTATTTAATCTTCATCACAGCTCTCGAGAGGCACTCTTCTGTTAATATCCCCACTTTAAGGTGAAGGAATTGAAACACTGAAAGGGTCAGTGCCTGGCCTAAGGTCACAGAGCTAATAAAGGGTGGGGCTGGGATTTGGGAAGTCAGGGCCCAGGGATCACATGCTAATCTTTATAATATTTCATCTAATACTAACAGCAAGCTCACATGGTCAGTACTGTTCTTATCCCCTTTATACAAACAAGAAAATGAAAACTTGTAGAATTTAGACCTATTTACCTATAATACCAAAACATTGGGGAAAAACAGCAACAAGCTTTGTTACTGTGGGAAATTAGTCTTTCCTGATTTCAAGACTCTGAAACACTTGAAGAGTATCTCTCATGACATGCTCCTACACAGGTAGGACAATTAATAATCTCCAAACAAAGCCAGTGGCTGTCAACTCCTCAAAGTGTAAGCCAGCTAGCTGTTCTTCATGGCTTTCAAAAAGGAAAACATGCATGTCCTAACAGGGTTACACATGGGCATAAAATATGCCCAAATTACCCCTGTGAAAAATTGGTACTTAGTTTTCTTGTTTTGTATGTGATTACAGCTAGTACTACCTGTCTGTGTCAGAATGCCTTTAGGGATAGGTATGGTTTCACATGATTCTCTATAATAAAGAAAAGCCACAAAGCGTAAAATGCCAACGTATTTGTCTCGTCAAAGTAAAAATGTTATTGCCTCGGGAATACTTCAGACACTTGAAGTGAATGGGTAAGAATGCTCCTCGCATTCTCATTTGACCTGGATTTGAAATCACACTTGCTCTCTCCTTGGCTATGATAAGGGATGGTTTTGTTGTTTTTGCTCAGTCATAACATGTTTTTATTTCATTTCCCATCTCATTAGGGTTGAACTGGACCCTCACGTCAGGGACTGTGTGCAGACCTATATTCGGGAATGGTTAATTGTGAACCAGAAGTAAGTTCCTTTTTTTTTTTTAAAAATCTCTGTGTGTGTGTGTGTGTGTGTGTGTGTGTGTATATATATATATATATTTTTTTGTGTATTTTAGCTTGTTAATTAATAATTTTTTTTAAAGAGCAGTTTTAGCTTTACAGAAAAATTGAGTGGAAAGTACTGAGAGTTCCCATATTTCCCTCAGCCCCCACCCCACAATACTTTCCCCCATTATCAACATCTTGGGATTTTAAAAACTGTTTATTTTTTGTCACATGTCCCAGAATGAAGGTGCATATTGATTTGGGGGTTATAAGTACATTTTAGTGGGTAGGTGAATTTGCAAATACCAAATTTGTGAATATTGAGGATTGACTGTACTTGTATTATTCCCCTGCTCAAACACCTTCTAAGGCTCCCTACTGCCTATTATATTAAATATAAACTCCACCGCTTTCCTTTCAAGGGCTTTAATAATCTGTCCCCACTCTATTAAAATTTACTTCCCTTAACTGCTGGAGTCATTTCCTTTCTCTGGGCCTCCTCTCCTTCCTCACTATTGGAACTGTACCCCTTTATTCTTGCTGTTTCCTCTCTGGGCATGCCCTGCCTTCTCTCACCTATCACCAAATCCCACCTATGGATTAAAGGTCAGATCAAGTTTCTTTTTTCTTTGCACAGATTTCTCTAATTTATCCTGTTCTTAGATGGATCTTAAGTGTGGTACATGTCTTACAATTAATGAGCCAATATTGATACATTAATTTTTAACTAAAGTCCCTAGTTTACATTAGGGCTCATTTTCTGTGTCGCATATTCTACAGTGTTGACAAATACACAATGACATGTATCTGCCATTATAGCGTCATACAGAATAGTTTCACTGGCCTAAAAAGTCCCTGTACTCCACATATAGTCAGTCATCCCTCCCTAGCAACCACTTATCTTTTTATTGTCCCTATAAAAACTATAGGCATAATAAAAAGATAAGTGGTTGCTTTTTGCCTTGTTCCTCCATGTCCTTTTGTGGCTTGATAGCTCTTTTCTTTTTTCATTGACGAATATTGCACTACATGGATTTACCACAGTTTGTTTATCCATTCACCTGATGAATATTTATACTTTTTTACATAAATACGAAAAGATCAGACAATTA